GGCTGACATGTATCGGGACGTTACCTTGCATAAAAACAAAGTTTTGCAGCCGGTTCTGGCACCAAAACGGAAGGAGTGCATAGCAACCAGATAGGGAGGAATTCATTTTTCCAGTATGAAGCAAAATTTCAGTCGCCCTTACTATAGGATTGCATCCCAAATTATCAGCCGCCTCCCATGAAGTTTCGTCTCGAAAAAACAGATTCTCCGTTCCGACATGGTGCAAGTAGAATTGATTGCCTTCCAGTACACCGAAATTAGTTCAATAAAAACAAAGCATAACCCAAAGAGAAAACCACCGAACGAAAGAAGGTTGAACCTCAAGAAGGAACGTGTACGTGTACCCAAAGGAGGCTGCAACTTTGCGAGTTCTGTAGCGAACTTTATAGCTCTGGAAGTTCGCTTCGATGACACTTGAAAGCTCGCGGCGATGCACGCCGCCTCGATCATAACTGGACGAAGAGAAAAATGATTTTCGGAAGGGGCTTTCGAGTGAATTTGGAAGGGATGCTGATGGCAGGATGAGAACCATTACGACAGGAGGGCCGCTCGGGTAAAAGGAAGTGAAAATTAGAAAAAATAGAGTAAAAAGACGTAGTCACTTTGAAACAAGTGGGGAATGAATCGGGTTGCTTAAACACACGAATTCGAGCAGGACATCTTGCTCGTAACGGGCTGGCACGCACGAAGTGTGACAGTGTGCCTGTCCCGCCTTAAGTATTATTTCTCGTTTTCTTGGACCTGAGCGTCAAAATTCGGTAGAGTGCAGGCGGTGGGTCAAATTTAACACGAAAAGGAGGAGCCCGGGGCGTTACCTGGGCGATCCGACTGGTAAAGTACATAGTGAGGAATGTAAGTCGAAGCATAACTGCCAGCCGGGATCAGTAAGGACGGCACAGGTGCCGCCTTTAATAAAGCATATACGATCTTGACAAATTAGGCAGGTTTATTCATAAGATGTATTTGTGGGATATAGTATAGGAAAAAGGTCAATCTCCCGGTGATTTATTTTTTTTCGCAAGACATGCAAAGCAGATTGTAAATAAAAGCAAAATATAATAGTGGTGCATACCTCTGCACTTGGATCGATAAAAACATCACCAACGATCTGGGCACGATCTCTGCACAAACGTGCTGCATATCGCTTCTTGAAAAGACGGAGGTAATGCCTGTTAGCGTATAAGACTGCCCTGAAATGAGTCTATACGACTTTGCGTAAAAGTCAGTATTTATTTTCCACACACGTGTAGACTATGGCTAGTAATTTTCATGTTTGTCTTGTGCAATCGCCTTAGCAATGAGGATGGTAATTGAAATGAACTAATCATCTACACTTTCATATAAGCTGCTTTGACTGTAATTTCCAGCATGACAGCTGCTGAAGCTGCAATATAGAATATGCGAAACAGCTACTGCTCCCAGTTATACTAAAGTGCTATTGAACTCGTACATAATTTTAACTGACTCACGCTGCTGTCTTCGTCTGACTCCACCAACGAGTAGTATGCAAAGCGAAAAGCTTCCCATTCGAAGCCATCTTAGGAAAAATGTCTGTCTCGAACCATAAATTACAAGCGGGTTCAACTTTCAGTTCCTGTAAAACGTAAGAGATAGAGTAACGGACTATTTCAAGCACAAACAAGTATTACTAACTCCACAAAACTATGATGCCTTCAAGCAAAAATGTCGCCTGCAGACATAATCAAAGGCGTTTCGTTATGGAGATAGATTAGTTTGATTAGGCATATGCATAATACCCTTATTGAGTAAAAACTCAACTTCAGTGATAGCCCGTCCGAAAAATTGGTTATTTGAGACGCTAGGAGGGAAGATAAATCTTTGAAAGCTCCACCAACAAATGATGTTGAAGGAGCTGTAATAAATTACAGAACAAAGTAGCAAAATTGAGGCGATATAGGTAATGAGGAGGGGTTTCCCAGCAGAAATTCCACATCTTTATTACATCATGCTCAGAAGCATTTGCAATTTGAGAGACAAGAAGTAGCATCGAAATACTGTGATTTCCGCTCTATTTCCTTTATATCCCCTTTATGGTTTTTAGCTATACTATCCTTTCTTGTTTCAACAATATCTGTCCAAAATGGAATGCCTAAAAAGGAACATAACGAGCAATCGAATTCTTGTTCCTCCAGAAACTACTGACTTTTCAAATCAAAGGTAAATCATTTTGCTGGAAATTGGAAACTAAAGTTTCTAGTTGCAGTTCTGATTGATTCGGGAATTCTCGACAATGTACAGAAAGGCAAAAAATGACCAAATTTTTAAGTTGCTCAATGGATTCTTCTGAAAGTCGAGAAGACAACAAAATTGCTTACCATTATGACGCTCGGTTTCATGAGATAAACTCCACAAGAAATATGAGTTGAGACAAATGTAGTAGGCTTATCCACATAATGTACAACGCGACCACTGTTGTCGATGACTACCTAAAAATGCTATCCTTACTACATATAAACCACAAGTTTGGTGTTTTTTGTCGTCTGTTTGTCGTTTGTTTGTTCGGTATCACCTGAAGAAGAAACTGTAAAGTATGGATCAAGTCTGCGATAGGTAGCCTAGGACAAGGCCACCTGAGCACATATGAGCCGAGCACAACCCCGCCTAAGTGGCGGGACGTGTGCCGAAATGGAATGTGACATGCAACCGGAATGAGTGGCGCTCGAAGCGAAACCGCTTATTTTGGCTTGTGGAAAGCCCAGACAGGAATGGATCAACGAACAAGGCATTATGCATGCTGAGCATGCCTAAACTTCGCGAAGATCCGCCTACGATGGGTGGGTGGGGCATAGGTTCAAACTGGAGGCAGTTTTTAAAATAGGATTTTGATCGGTAAGTGGCTCCTGCTCCCTTAGGCCCCTTATCTTCTCTTATCAGTTCATCGGTTCCTATCGCCGAATGCCTACGATCCCGTCACATCCTGCATCACTTATTAAAACGTTAAATCCACTGGGCTATTATCCTACCAAATTTGAACTCTTTACGTCCACGGGAACAGGAGTTATGAATATCCACTCATTTATTTCGCGCTAGCCCCGCAGCCCCTGTGAGCGTTATCCGGACTGCCGTCCACCCTGCCGCGTGTACTCCTATTCAATTTGAACGCTACTGTTTCAAATTGTCAATTCTCGTGCAAACCCTGCCCCATGTGGGAAGAGTCTGGTCCTGCTACCTGCGGTGAGGGTTCTCATCATGTCGCCTATTCTCGTACCAAATATGTGTCGCTTACAAATGATCTCAAGTGAAAATGACGGCTCTCAAAAGAAAATGGCGGGTCAGCCGATCCCCCCACTTCGTCTTAGAAGAGAACGGGATTTTACCGCGGTTTGTTATTGAAAGACAGAAATGAGAACGGTACAGAATGAAGAAAGAGCAATGAATGGGGTAACCAAATTCGAAATTCTGTTAGGCAAGCATGTACCTTGTCAGTATCGATCGAAGTCACAATGACGAAGTACCCGCTTCACTTCATACTCACCACACTCCGCAGTACTCGCTCCACTCAATTAACCTACCCACCCATTTACGCTTTGTATATAAGAAGGAAATGTGAGATCTGGGTTCTCCATATCACTACCTTTATCGAAATGATCAAGTTTTGCGGACGGACAGACCGACAAACCGACACACCAAGTTACTGCTTTATAAATAAGAAAGACTTCGTATTACTATAGCACTGGATTGGAAGCGAATCCGTTTTGGGTTCGGAAAAGGACAGGGCACCACTTCACCTGAAACTGTGTTCCATGTTGCGTAGGGTGAGCGAGGGCTGCAGATGGTCAGTGGGAGATGCAACTGTTTTGCAAGGCATAGAATTCATTTTATGGGGAAACAAGTTTCTCTATGCCATGCTTGTGGAGCGCCTCGAGAGCGTAAAGGCGCTTATTAGAGTAGGGAGCCTAAGGAGATATGCAGAGAGATTGCGATCAGGTGAGATACCAAAGAAATGTGTGCGATGAGAAGAATCATAGAAAAAAAACGAACATTTCCGAAGTTTCCACTTTGTTCTCGAGTTGCTTCTGTTGTAAGGAGCAAGCAGCTACCATTAGGTAAGCAAGCAATACGCGCCACCATTTCGTCTACCGGAAGATCGCCACATACATCGCCATTAATAACAAACAACCCTTCAGGTGAGTCCCCGAGGATTGTGTCCTTCTGCGCCACTAAACCACCAGCAGTACCTGTAAAAGGTCGAAGCGAGTTTTTGCCAATAAGCGAGTTCAAAAAAAGTAACTATCAAGTCAAACTTTCACTAATAATCAGTTCTCCATTCTTTGGAATGAAAAATCCAGAAATGGCTAATCCAATATAGTAAAAGCTGAAGCATTAAGAACAAAACAACTCAAAACTTTACCTAAGGGCTGCTGCTCCTGAGCATACTTTATGGAAATACGATAGGTCTGTTGGCATCTGCCAATAAAGTCTGTGAAAAGATCAGAAGAATAGGAGCCAATTAAAATGATTTCAGATAGTCCGGGAAGCTGAAAATAAATTTCACTGAAGAATCGCGTCTGGTCCTAGGCCTGACCATAAGCATAAATTTGAAATGAGATATCTGACACAAGAAAATTCTCTTGGATCGTGAACTCGTTAGATTATCTCTAATTGTGCTATGACGGTTCCTTCCTACGCATTTCAACTACTTAGACGTAGTGGGAGAAGGTTCAAGTGTTCAGTAAAAACTAGAACTTTCCAAAAATTTCAGAGAATT